CTTCTCTTGCTTCTTTGATGTAACCAATGCTTGTAACTCCTTAATAAGCTTGGTACACTCATCCTGGTCCAACTTCTCTTCAATCCCTCTAAGGGTATCTCGCATAAAGTTGAATACTGCTGCTTTAGTACGGCAATCATTTAATTTGCCAACACATCTACAACAAGGGCAGCAGTAGCTATCAGTCATAATCACTACTGCGATGCTATCACCAATATTACCGTTCACTAAGCTGTTCAACGTCCTTCAACGTCTTCAACTGTAATTCCTCGAATGAATCCTTCTCCACAACAGTAGTAGTCTCACGTATCTTCACGTGTTGTTGTTGATCTTCACAACCACTACCTATACAACTAATAACTACCATCACGACGATGATGATAATCAGTGGCATCACTATTACTCGCATCATTGGGGGTAGATACACCAAACATATCACAAATATTCTCCATATCGGCCTTCTCTATCTACAGCAAACCCCATCATCTAGTACCCTAATACTACTACTACCATTCGCTGTTGACGAGCCTTCTCAGCTATAGGATCATCGAGAGGCATATCATCAGCATCAAACTCCTTAGTTGTGGAAGTAACCTTTGTACCACTACCTAGTATCACCACTGCGAAGGCTATGATGACCCTTCATCGTGTATTACCCTTATCGCCCTGTTTTTGCTGCTTGCTGGCTGACTTCTTGACGGTGGTAGCAACCTACTAGCATTATAAAGACATCACCCTCCCCCCTGGGTTATATATTACTACCTGTGGTGCGGTGGTGGCTGCTAAAGCCTTCTCAGCTGCAGCCTCCTTATTATTATTCAGTTCGATATCATCTAGACCGGCATCGGCAGCCTCCCAATCATCATCAGAATCGCTATCATCCCATTGTTCATTCAATTTAGATGGACCAGCACACGAGGAGGAGGACATACTAACGTAATAATAATTTTCAACAATCTAAGGGTCGTTGAAATGATGATGATGAACTCTCATAACTATGTCGTAGTACCCGGCCGGGCACGCCCAGATGATCGGTTCGTTAGGTGTAGGTGCTAGGCCTCCTTGAACGTACTACATGCCTTGGGAGGTCGTATTGTCTCGTGTAAGTAGTCCTGCTATTACTAATGAGGGGAGGATGGTGAGGTATCATCTATACCAATAGGTAATAGGGGGTGGGTATCAGGGAGGCTCTCTCTCACTGTTACTACACATGTAAAGTAGGGTCATGCATAGACCGTCTACATGGTAGTAGGCTTGGCACTATACGCTTGATCATGTTAGAGATCCTTCTGAAGTATGGAGCGTCGGTATCGGCTTGTATTGGTATCAAGCCTGAGCAATCGTTCTAG